TTCCAGTGATTCTCATCACTCTGTGACTGGTTGTAAGTTGAGGATTACCTGTATCCTATTCTATTGGGGGAGATTTTCCTTAGTGCACAGCTAAGAGCTGTTACAGGTGTGGATGAGGTGCTTAATTAAATAGGGGAAAGGAATTTTAAGATTGGATTAGATATGACTCTGAGTTGCGAGAAGGAATAGGTGAATAAAAAGGACTGTTATAGAACACTAATCCTGGCAACATACCTTAATTATATTCTTACTTTCTGATTTTTCTTGATTTTCTTTTTTTCCCTGTCTGTTTTTTTCATTTTGTGTCATCTCTTAAGTTGTAAACCTGTAAACCTGAAAGAGTCTTTTATACGCAGCTATTTTTTCCAGCTAAAAATGGACTATAAACAGTTAATAAAATACACTAATAATACTGTGAAATCATGGAATGTATGATCAAATTACTTTGACAAAATCACATAGCAAATAAGCCTATTTCCAAAAGAAGGTTAAGATGGCTAGTGATTGAATTGCTCACTTTAATCATTATTACTTTTAATTAAATATATTTTATATCCAGAAATATATTTTAACATTTTTGATAGAATAAGGTCTGCTCTCTCTGGAACTATTATGCAAAATGCATGTGGATTGACAATGCTCAATTTATTTTGTGATTGGATTATGTCATAATCTATCAGGTGAATGTCTTCTTCTTTTGTTATTTTCCTGCCTTCTAGGAGCTAGATTCTAGATTAATAATGATGATTTTTTTTAAGATTAAAAATAGACACAGATTGGATTTGTGAGGGTTGCAGAAATAAGGAAATATTTGAGCCAACTTTTCACAGCAACATTGGTTTTCATGTTTGTTTTTTAAACATGAGGTGAATGATCCTTTCTCTCAATTAAGTGCCATTTCAGAGCCCTCTGAAAAGAACTCCTTGCCCTCTGGGGGGAAGAAACATAATTTGCTACTATCCAGTTTTACATAAAGGATCCTCTTCTAGCTGTCATGAAAGGTGTTCTGTGGAAATATCTAGGCAGCAGGGGAGGAAGAAACTGCAGATTAAACCTTGATCATACCGTATGTCCACTGACAGTTAACCTTGGAAAAAAGCAGATTTTAGTCCCTGATGATCACCCCAAAATCCAAGAATTATAGGCTACACATAAAAGTTATAAAAACATGCTAGAAGGCAAACCACTTCTGTATGGTTGCCAAGGAAACTACATAGATATGCTCATTGAATCATTTTGAGTATATTTAATTAGTTTGAGAACCAAAGGAGAATAGGAAAGATAAGAAAAAATGGCAGCCTAGAAATAGATACTTAAACCTATAAGGAAGAATATGTTTTTGTCTTCATGGCAATTGAACCACTATTTCAGCATGGGTTTCTTTGACCCTTCTTTGTCTTTTAGAGTATATACTTATGAATAGAAACTACTAATTATTTGTATCATCCTCTAAGGTGTATAGTTTAAAATCGCCAAGCAAATAGTCCTCAGTGAACAATAATTATTCCAGAATCAAAATTGATTCTGGAATTTTGATCATCATCGATTGTTAAGCAGGTCACCACATGACTTGACTTTACAACAGTTTTTATGATGGTCATAATGTGATTCACCACAATCATTAAACAAATCACTTTTTCTGGAAACCTGGAAAAAATAGCAATTTGCAAGTGACATGGAACCAATTGCAAATGTGAGGTATTGCCAAGTGCTCAGAATGTGTGACCATATGGCCGTGGGGAGGCATGGCATTGTAACTTCAAGGATAGGTTTTAAGTAACTTTTTTGTGGTCTGGAGTTGTGGGTGCCCCATTACTGAAAACTTTCAAAAATGAACTGGACATTTTGGACAACCATTTGACCAGAATGGTATAAGGTCTCCTCTTTTGAGCAGGGGATTGGACTAGAAATCCTTCCAGCTCTATGATTCTAAGGGGACCATGTTGTAATTAAGAATTAAGCAACCAGTTGTTAAGCAAGGGCTATCTGTAAGGCAATCATTGTTATGGGATTTATATTTGTGAATTTGCTTATTCGTTATAATTTATTTGTAATCCCCAAATCAATACTTTTCCGTTATTCATAGCAGAGGTGATATTTAGCAGGTACTGACCAGTTCTGGAGAATTGGAATCAGAAGTTTTGAGTAGTTTGGAAAACCGGCAAATACCACCTCTGACTGGAGATTTTACAGTATCCTTCCCCCTGCTACGCCTACCAAGCCACGCCCACAGAAATGGTAATAAGAAAAATGAATCCCACCATTGATTCATAGGCATGTGTTTAGCAATGAAAATTTTGAGTCACCATACATCGGTCTTCTCTTAGTGGTCTCATTGGTTAAAATGACCATGAAAAGTAAGGGTTTTCTAAAATAAAACTGTAATTGCTTAATGTTTGTTGAATTAATTTAGGACTTTATTTATAAGAAACACATACACATATTATATAGAGTATATTTTAAACAGAAAGACACATAAAATAAAATTATGTATTGATCAGTTGATGAAAATGTGACCAGAGGCTGATGGAAACCTAGTTCTGCAGTGGTTCAGTATTTCCAACAATTTAAAAGAACTGTTGCAAATAACAAGAATTTACTATACTTTGTTCATTTGTTTCTTATCAATGAACATTTACATTGATTTGTAATTATATTCTTTTTTCTGTATATCTGCTGTTTCAGAAGACTATCATTAAAATTCACAAAATGAACGACACATAGTCCTCGACTTACAAACACAATTGAGCACAAAATTTCTGTTGCTAAGTGAGAGTTAAGTAGTTTTGCTGCATTTTATGACCTTGCTTGCCACAGTTGTTAAGTGAACCTCTGTAGTTAATAACTCAGTTGTTAAATGAAGTTGGCTTCTCCATTGACTTGCGTGTCAGAAGGTCGCAAAAGGGGATCATGTGACCCCAGGACTCTGCAACTGTCATAAATATGAGTTCATTGCCAGGTATCTGAATTTTGACCACAAGGATGCTGCAGCTATCATCATGTGAAAACAGTCATAAGTCACTTTTTTCTAACTTTTCTAACTGTAATTCTGAGTGGTCACTAAATGAACTGTTGCAAGTTGAGGACAATCTATATCCATTTAAGTGTCCGGTTCCAGTCAAAAAACAAAACACTTTAGCACATCATTTAATTTGAAGTATATTTTAAAGTTTTCAGACTCACAGTTATCCAGGCCATAGCTGCTACCATTGATAGGATATAAAAAGGAACACATGGCAAAAAGTGTTAATCCTCTCAAAATGAAAATCTGACTGAAATTTCAGATAAAACTGACATAGTTAGCAATATGAACCTTCCATCTGTTACAAATCCTAAACTTGGAGCAAAGAAACTATGCTTCATATTTAATATGACAAGACCACTAGAGGGCAGAAACTGCTCTATTTTCCTTTTTTTTAAATTATTCAATCTGAATAAATCAATTCTCAGGAACCAGAGGTGATATTCAGCAGGTTCTGACCAGTTCTGGAGAACCGGTAGCAGAAATTTTGAGTAGTTTGGAGAACCAACAAATACCACCTCTGACTGGAGATTTTACAGTATCCTTCCCCCTGCCACACCCACCAAGCCACAGAACTGGTAGTAAAAAGAATTGAATCCCACCACTGTCGGGAACATATGCAATATTTTTGTAATGTGGGAAATATAAAGGCAAGAAAATTTAGGTCAGATATTTCCCAAAATAATATGTCCAATTGCCTCTTGAAAAAGCACCTTTGGGACAACCATGACCTGGATGACTGAGAATCCCCATTGACAATTGCAATACTTCGAAAATGAGGACGTTCTGCATTGCCTAAAGTGGGACCCCCTTTTTGACAGACTGAACAGCATACAGCACCATCTAATAAATTATAAATTAATAATTCATCACATTCCTCTGGAATACAATTCCCCACATCTGATGCTTCTGCTGATAAAATACTTAGACCATCCAAACAGAGAGGAAGAAGCTTCTTAGATGAGAAGTGAAATGTCTTCACAGCAAACAAGGAAGTCCAGTTGTCTCTTGAAAAAGCACTACTTAGACCTGTGATGGCAAACCTATGGCATGCATGCCAGAGGTGGCATGCAGAGCCCTCTCTCTGGGCACACGAGCCATCGCCCCAGCTCAGCTCTGCTGCACATATGTGTGCGCGCCTCCCGCTGGCCAGCTGCTCTTCAGGTCTCTGCTGCACATGTGAGGTGGGGCACGCATAGGAGACTAGCGCATATGTGTGTGGGGCACACGTGCAGCAGTTGTGCATGCATGCACAGTGATGGCACGCATGCATGGGCTCACGCACATGCGTGGAGTTGCAGGAATTTGCACACACATGCGTGGGGGGCATGGGGGGAATCACACACACATGGGGGGCATGCACATGCATTGCATTTTGGGGATGTGCACACATGCACACTTTGGGCACTTGGTGCCAAAAAGCACCAAGTTAGCTATCATTTAGACCATACTTAGAAATAATTAACAATTATTAATTTTTAAAACAGCCCACAGGACTTTATATTTTTATTAAACAGCTGGAAGTAACATCTGAGCACATTGTCTCCTGGAATTAAAAATAACGAAATCTTGAAAGTAAAAGTCCAGCTAAGCTAAATCTAACACACTCTTAAAAAGCCCATTGTTTCTTACATGGCCAGGATGAACAGATGTATCTTGTGCAATCATAGAAAGGTCTCATATTTTCTAAGTTCCCATTAATATATTTTGCTTTATTCTGGTCTGTTATGTTTGTATAAACTAATCTACTGTGCTTTAGGAACCGTAGTTTATGAATTAGTGTTTTGTGAACTCAGCTGATGGTGATTTTTCCAGCAATTCGTGGTTAAGCATACCACAATCAAACAGGCGGAGCCTTTCTGCCACTCTAGGGTAGCGCATTGCGCAGGCGCATCCCCGATTCTAAATCGAACATGATGCCCGGTAGCCTTTCAAATCTTGTGCACATGCGCACCAAGAAAGCGATGGGCGGGGCGATGTTACTTTTCTTCAGTGGGTCGTGGTCTTGCCGCCATTTTGGACTTCCTTTTCCCCCCTCCCTTTCTTCTCCACAGCAATCGAAAGAAGCAGCGATTGAGCGGAGAGCTCTTCGTGCGCTTTCTTTCCCCCTCCTTTCCGTCTTACTTGCGATCCGTACGGTTAGCAAACTCGAGCTATGTCCGCCAACAGGAACCTCAAGCAAGTGAGGATCGAGAACAATTCTCCGGCGTCGGCACCTCCGATGAGTATGGTGGGCGGCGGCCCGATGAAGGCGCTGAGGGGTTTGGAGAAACCGTCCGAGAACGAAGCTTTGGCCGCCGCGATGGCGATGGTGAAGGAGGAAGAGGAGGGAATCGGCGGAGGCTTTACGGTCGACATTAAGAGCTTCCTCAAGCCCGGCGAGAAGAGCTATACGCAAAGGTGCCGCCTCTTCGTCGGGAACCTTCCCACCGACATCACCGAGGAGGACTTTAAACGCCTTTTTGAGCGCTACGGGGAGCCCAGCGAGGTCTTCATCAACCGCGACCGCGGCTTCGGCTTCATCCGCTTGGTGAGAAGCTGCGCCCGCAATTCTTGCGTGAGGGCGCGAAGGGGATTCACCGCCCCCTCCCCAAATGAAATAACTGCATGTCCCTCAGCAAACATGTCCTCCCTCGAGGGGGGGGACATTTTTTCCCGCTAGCGGAGCCCCCCCCCCCCTCGCCACGGGCACGCGCCCCCCCTCCTGCTTAAGATGCCCGGCGCGCGCCAGGCCTCTGTCCTCCCCCCCCTTGCTCCTTTCTTTTGCTGAGGTGTTGAAACTCGCGAGTATTTTACAACACGTGCGGCGCTATCAAAAACGTTTACAAGATTTGCCCGGTTTAAACGGAGTTCCCGTTAAAGGACTCTTCCCGGGAGTAAAATGAAAGTTAAAACGTTGCTGAAATTCAGTATTGCCGCGTGACCGTGCCTTAAAAAGGGGCCTTCGTGTTGCTGCTCGATTGCGCTTTCCTTCAGTTTCTTCCCCCACGTGTTGGTCGCCGTTGCTATCTTTATAATCGAATTATGCTGGTCTCGACGACGTATTGCAGAGAGGGGCGTGCTTATTGTACAGGTAGTCCTCAACTTACAGCGCTTCCTTTAGTGACCGAAGTTACAACGGCACTAAAAAAAGGGACTTATGACTGTTTTTTTTTCACACTTAAGACAGTTGCAGCATCCCCATGGTCAAAATTTGGATGCTTGTGGCAAGCAGTTAAATGTGGCGACCATTTATGGGGGTCGCAATGCCCCTGGGTCATGTGATCCCCTTTTCCATGGGGAAGCCCGATTCACTTTACCCTGATTGTTCACAACTGCAGTGGTTCACTTAACGACTGAGGCAAGAAAAGTAAAATGGGGCAAAGCTCAAATGTCTCACTTAGCAACAGAAATTTTGGGCTCAGTTGTGGCTGTACTTTGAGGACTACATGTATATTTTCTTACAAAATAATAAAATCGTTTTTACCTTCATAATACTTTCCCCTTCAGTTTTGGGAAGGTGTGGATCAAACCAGTAATAAGAATATGTAGAAAAAAAGTTGATATCTGAAATTCTCTCTTTTTTTTGGAAAAAAATGGTTACTTCCTGGATATGCTCTTTCAGTTTGTGTATTGGTATCCTTCAGGAAGATGATGTGCAGTGACTATCATAGTAGGTTCCAAAGCATCTTTAGCTTCTACTGATAAATATTAAACTATTTATGGGGAGGAATCTATTTTAAAAGACTATGGTATGTTATTGCTTTATTTATTTAAAGTAAAGCACAGCGTTATTAATAGAGCTTGTTCTCATAACACTTGAACACATCTACTTTGATTTTTTTTAAAAGATTAATACTTTTCTGAGTTTATATTTATAATACTTTGCTCTTCCTTTAGAATTCCTGTTTAGGATGGTTTATTTTGGAAATGTTCCTTTAGTTACTACTTTACACAGCCTCCTGGAAGTGTTTGACCTTAGTAGCTTAATAAAGTATCTTTATTAACTTTAAATATCTATAACTTGTGAGATGGGTAGCCATATAAATGTGATTAATAAATTTTCTTTTTGAATGTACTGAAATACCTGGATCTGAATGGTGGAAGGGGTTATCTTAGTGAAACTTAGTAAAACTCAGTAACAGACCGCCTTCCAAGTTATGCAATGAATGAAGTTTTTCTGATAATGCAGTTGGAGCAGTGGGGTATAGGTGAAAATTGGTCCATAGTTTTCCTATACCCATTTAAATTCAAAATGGAACTGGCTTATTTAAATAGACTTTCAGGCCAATTGGGTTATGGTCATGCTAATTTTTGTTTTGTGTTGTTGAAACTTATTGCAATGCACAATTGTTTTGTGTATTTCAATTCATAATTTTCTCAGCTTTTATGCAATTTTATGGATTTTATACAGATATATTTGAAGAAAAACCTTGTTGATGACTAGTTTTTGAGGGCACACTGATTTTTTTTTCCAGTGAGAATTGTTTTCTATTCTCATTTTGTGTTATAGAATGCTAGTGATTAATACCAGCTTTAAGTTTAATTATCCAAGGCATCGTTCAAGGTAAAACACAAATGTCTATGGTTTACCACTTTGGCCAGCCTATTGTAGAAATCATTTTGACGGCTATGAATCATAGCTTGTTCTTAACTATAATTTGATAGGTGTTTATTAAGCCAGGGAAAAAATATATTTGTTCTCTGTTTTCTGTTGAGAGGGAATATCTGTTGATTCAAAGAACCTTATTAGTTTCTGTAAATGTTGTTACCAGTAAAGTTTAAAGTTAATAGGCAGGGATCTAATAAACTCTAGCTTGGGTTTATTTCTCAACCATATTCAGTAGATTTGAGGCTTGTGAAGCTAAATACCACTGAGAAAGAGAAGAGTGCCTGTTCAAGCATAATTGCTTGTTTTAGACTCCTTCAATGAATGTAATGAGACATTTGGTCTAAAGAAGGAAAATGTTTTTGAATTCCTTATTTTAGCCTTTGTAGTCAAGCTGCTGCAATTGGTAGAGAATTGGGAGATAGTCTATGCAACTATTGGCAAGATTCCCACCAGCCACTGCAGTTTTTAATCTGCAAAAATGATCATTTGTCTTGTTGCTAGAAGTGGCAATAGATGAAAATATTGAAACACCTTTACAGGTTCTGAATAACTAAAATACATGTAATGTTAAAAATCTTAATTATATGTAATATCTACACATAATAAAATTGCATATGTATTTTGTGATTTTTTTGAAAAGGAATCCAGGACTCTGGCTGAAATAGCAAAGGCAGAACTTGATGGAACAATTTTAAAGAGCAGGCCACTCCGAATTCGATTTGCCACCCATGGAGCTGCTTTAACAATTAAGAATCTTTCACCAGTTGTTTCCAATGAGCTTTTGGAACAAGCTTTCTCTCAGTTTGGGCCTGTGGAAAGAGCGGTTGTTGTTGTAGATGATCGTGGTAGAGCAACAGGCAAAGGTTTTGTGGAATTTGCTGCAAAGCCTCCAGCGCGTAAAGCTCTAGAAAGATGTGGTGACGGCGCATTCTTGCTTACAACGTAAGTTTACTCTTCACTACATTTATTGTGATCTTACGTATTTAAAATATGTACCTCTGCAATCCTCAAGGCAGATCCTTCACCTAGAAATCAGCATAAATGAAATAAATCTTCTGGCATAGGAACAAATTACCAAGGTCCAGAATATGGTAAGATTTTGTTATCCATGAGATCACCCATGTAGATATTGACAAGTTTATAAGGAATAATGATAGCATCCTCAATACTTTGAGTCTGTTTTACTATAAAACACTTCAGTGGTTCCTCTTACCATTTCAAAACTAAATATTTAAGCCCAAGAGTCCCTAGCAGGGTGACCAAATCCTTGAAGCCAACCAGCAAGGGAAATATCACTCAGAAAGCTAAGAAAAGCTAATTAAGTACAAATAACTACAGATATCAACCAGATGGAAGAAGAGACAAATTTACAAAATTGTTTGGTTTTTTGGTTGTGGTCACAGGGTGAGTTGATATTTCCTCTCAACCAACCACAATTGAAGATGACCTGCTTGGCATTGAAAGCATTAGCATATCTAATTATGTATTATGATGTTGATTCTTAGTGGACACGTTCATTTTCTCCATGATGTGTAAAGATTTGATATGTTCAGACTAGCAGTCAGCATGATCCCTTAAAAACAGATCATGCCAAATGAATCTTATTTCATTCTTCAACATAGTGACTAAATTAGTAGACCAGCGAAATACTGTGGACATAATATATTTAGATTTCAGCAAGGCATTCGACAAAGTAGACCACAACCTACTTCTTGGTAAGTTAGAAACAAGTGGAATAGATAGCACCACCGCTAGATGGACTTGCAACTGGCTGACAAAACATACTCAACGAGTAGTCCTTAATGGATCTAAGTCTACATGGAGGGAAGTAAGTAATGGGGTTCCACAAGGTTCCGTCTTAGGCCCAATACTCTTCAATATCTTCATTAACTACTTAGATGAGGGAATAGAAGGGGAACTTACCAAATTTGCAGATGATAGATACTAAGCTGGCAGGAATAGCTAACATCCAAGAAGATAGGCTTAAGATCCAGATGGATCTTGACAGAGTAGAACACTGGGCTGTATCTTAACAAAATGAAATTCAGTGTAGAGAAAAGTAAAGTCCTATACTTAGGCAAGAAAAGCCAGAAGTACACATATAGACTGGGTGAAAACAGGCTCAATAGCAGTAACTTTGAAAGGGATCTTGGAGTCTTAGTGAATAACCAGCTAAATATAAGCCAGCAGTGTGCAGCAGCAGCCAAAAAAGCTAATGCAATCCTAAATTGTATTAACAGAGGGATACAATCAAGATCAAGGGAGGTACTAATACCACTCTATAAAGCCACACCTAGAGTACTGCATCCAGTTTTGGACACCACATTATAAAAAAGATGTTGAGACTCTAGAAAAAAGTACAGAAAAGAGCAACCAGGCGGATTAGGGGACTGGAGGCTAAAACATATGAAGAATAGTTGCAGGAACTTTAATGAAGAGAAGGACCAGGAGAGACATGATAGCAGTCTTCCAATATTTGAGGGGCTGCCATAGAGAGGAAGGGGTCAAGCTATTTTCTAAAGAGCCTGTAGGCCAGACAAGGAATAATGGATGGGAACTGATCAAGGAGAGATTCAACCTGGCAATAAGGAGAAACTTTCTGACAGTGAGAACAATCAACCAATGGAACAGCTTGCCCTCAGAAGTTGTGGGAGCGTCATCACTTGAGACTTTCAAGAAGAGATTGGACTGCCATTTGTCAGAAATGGTGTAGGGTCTCCCGTTTGGGCGGTAGGTTGGACTAGATGATCTACAAGGTCCCTTCTAACTCTGATTATCTGTTACAATATCATGGTAGAGATAGTTCTCGACTTACAACCACAATTCAGCAGATGAAATAACTCCTGATACCTACAAAATCTGTTTAGGTTATGAAGTTAGTTCCAAAAATCCTGTAGTAAGTTTCAATATTCAAACTTTGCTGGATCCTTAATTCATTTATAATTTTCTGGATTCCAATTTTTTTTTAGTCTTTTCCCATTTATTTCAAATTCTTTTAAGTTCTATAATTTTTTTTCTTTTCTTGAAATCAGGAGAACTGACTCGTCTTCCAGATGTCTTTTGTTTCAAATAGGTTAACCGGCTCCCACCTTCAGATATTTTTTTTGGAATACCTGGGGATGCATGACCCAATTTTTCTGTAATTGACTTTATTAAGTCAGCCACAATTTTCAAAAATTCCTCTTGTGTACTCCCCAAATTAATCAAAATGATTAATTATGACACTTTGTTATGAAGGCCTTTCATCTTATTCTGCCTTGGCTGTTTTACTTCTTTATAGGTAGAAATCAACTCACAACAGTTCATTTAGTGACCGTTCAAATTTACAACAGCACTGAAAAAAGTGACTTATGATCGTTTTTCACACTTAGAATCATTGCAGCATCCCCATGATCAAAATTTGGACACGTGGCAACTGGCTTATATTTGATGGCTGCAGTGTCCTGGGTCTTGTGATCACCTTTTGTGACCTTCTGATGAGCAAAGTCAAGGGGGAAGCCAGATTCACTTAACAACCATGTTACTAACTGAGCAGCTACCATGATTTATTTAATAACTCTGGCAAAACAGATTGTAAAATGGGGCAAAATTCACTTAACAAATGTTTCACATAGCAACAGAAATGTTGGGCTGAATTGTGGTTGTAACTCGAGGACTACCAGTATCTCCCCTAGGCAGATCTTTGTTCACTTGTGCTATTTGAATAGTGGATTGGTAGTGTGAAACTAGAGTTTATGTGTTCCTTATTAACAGTGTATATGTTACTTGTTTTAAGAACTCCTAGACCTGTTCTTGTTGAACCTATGGAACAGTTTGATGATGAAGATGGTCTGCCTGAGAAATTAATGCAAAAAACACAACAGTATCATAAGTAAGTACCCACTTCTAAAACAGAATTTTAGAAATGAAAGAAGCAATGAAGAAATAGCATCGTAATCAAAATCATCATTAAAACAAATCTTGCAAAGTGTACGATGATAAAATTACAGTTTGAAATTACTTAAAATGGGTTGGTTGTATATTATATAGCAAACAGAAAAAGGCTTATCATGATTGAAAAATTATACTTGTATCATAAAAGCAATGAAACCAATAGGGTTTAGATCTGTTTTCTGTGTTACTAATTTTCTGAGATACCTTGCCGTTTCATAGGGAAAGGAAAGGATAGAAGCAAAATAAAGAAATAAGCAAGTTTCAGAATGTGGAAGTTATTAGCAAGAAGAAAAGCATTTTCTATGCAATCTGCTGCTCAAAAATAAAGCACACAGCAAAGTAAATTTTCTGCAACCTTCCCTGCCATGCCAGTATTTCATACAAATAGTATCAGTTGAGCCCATTGGGGATTATTTCTTTGATGTAGCAGATAGCAGGAATGGTTGATCTTCCTTTATATTTCCAGGCTTATTTGAAGAGCTCAGAAGAAAAAATGTCTATGCTGCTTCCCACCTTTTGCTTTAAATTTTACACATTACCTCAGTCTTGGTTGTTGTTTTTTTGGTTTTTTTTGTGCTTAAGTAGGCAAGCTTTAGGCTTTTGGGCACTAAATTAGCTATAGGCAACCATTATTTAAGAATCCATAAAAAAGCCTTGAAATGAATTGGAAATTTGCAGACAAATTTGCTTTTACGAAATGACAGCATTATGAAATGACAGCATTTATGAAATGACAGCATTAAGGTGAAATGTATCTTCTCTTAGGGAAAGAGAACAGCCCCCACGTTTTGCCCAACCTGGAACGTTTGAATTTGAATATGCTTCACGATGGAAAGCTCTTGATGAAATGGAAAAACAACAGCGGGAACAAGTTGATAGAAATATTAGAGAAGCTAAGGAGAAGCTAGAAGCAGAAATGGAAGCAGCTCGACATGAGCATCAGCTAATGTTGATGAGACAAGGTATTCTTCATGAATTATTGCTGTAATCATATGATCAAGAATATTGGAAATAGTCTATTTGTGTTAATGCATTTCAATATAATTCAAAATAATTTATGTATCGAGGAACTTGTGACCCATGGACTGTATATTTGAAATACAAATATCTGACCTTTGATAGTGACCTAAATCAGATAAGCTCTTTCTCAAACACATTCGGTGTGTGAGGTTTTGCTAATTTCCTGATCATAACTTGTTTTCTTTGTAGTAGAGGAATTTATAAGTGAGCTTTCTGCAAAGCCTACTTCATTCGGTTATTTGACCCAGTAAGAGAGAGCACTGGAACTGTATTAAATACAGAGCTCTTAATATATTGTGATTTTTGTATGATACAAACAAAATTGACTTACTGAACAAATAAGGAAAATCAGAATTTCCTACAGTTGACTGTAATTAAACTGCTTGTTAGTTGATGATGCAACAATTTTTTGATATTACTCTAATTCTGTCACATTACTTAAAGTTGGACATTAACATTTGAAATAATGTATGATGTATAATTAATGAAGTAGTTGCTGTGCAAAAAAATAAAATAATTTGAGTTGTAAGGAGTAGCAACTCAGATTTTTCCATCTGCAGTGTTGATTTTGATCAGAATTACTTGCTCCTTGAGGTTATTATTTTTTTAAAAAAAATTGTCCCATCAGTTTTAAATTGACTATTTACTATGTTAGAGATAACAATTACAGTCTTTACACACCTGTCTTCACATTTTTGTCTCTTGGCTGAGAAAGTTCAGATACATTGCGTTTCACTTAAAGGTAGAATTTGGTTTAGCTTTCAATAGTTTCTGCACCTTGGTGTAGCATTCTGGGTCCCAGAAAATATGTCCGAAAACTTAGAAAAAGGCTTCAACTTAAGATTTATATGTTCTATAATTAAAAATCCATTCTTTCTAGTTCTTTAAATTGTTCTTACTGATACCTGTTGAAGAGTTAAAGTTATTTATGCTATTTTCTGATGTTTATGCTTATTTTGGTAAGGACATGTATACCACTATGGGTAATTCTCCACTTATAGCCACAATTGAGCCCAAATTTCTGTTGTTAATTGAGACATTTGTTAAAAGAATTTTGCTCAGCTTTTAAGTGAATCACTGCAGTTGATAAATTAATAACCTCCTTGTTTGGTGAATCTGGTTTCCCCATTTATTTTATTGTCAGAAGGTCACAGAAGTGATTATATGACCTTGAAACACAGCAATGTTCATAAATATGAACACACTTGCCAAGCATCTGAATTTTGATCACATGCTCATGGAGATGCTCCAAAGGTTGTAACTGAAAAACAGTCATAAGTCACTTTTTTCAGTGCCATTTAACTTTGTTAAATGAACTGTTGTAACTTGAGGACTACCTTTATTTGTGACAGAACAATAATTGCTATAGTTGTTTCAATTTTTTCCAGATCTTATGAGGCGTCAGGAAGAACTGAGACGTTTAGAAGAACTTCGAAACCAAGAGCTACAGAAAAGAAAGCAGATACAATTAAGGTATTCCATAGATTTTTAAATACTGGATTTTGCAGCTCAACATGTAATTTTTTAAACTTCACAGTTTTAACATTGCCTCTGAATTCTTCTATGAAAAACTTCAGAGGATAATATCTCCATTTTCAATTTACTAAATGAATTGATGCTGTGGTACCAATGAAAACTTTCTTATTGAATTTTTGGGTAAGAAAGGCAGGTTAAACGATGAGATTTTAAGGATATGTTTTTACATAAGAGATGGTATATTGGAAGAAGAGATAACTTGTATTTTAAGAGAAGGTAATAAGTTACTGAAATTGTTTCTTTATGCTTGTCATAAAGAAGGAAGTAATTTGTTTATATATTGCTTTGCTATATTTTTTCGTTTATATCTTTTCTTTCCTTCACCTAGTTTTTCTTTTCCTTTTATTTTTTAGTTCATAAATTTTTATTATTGCAGTGATAATTATACACACCCACACCTTTTTTATGTTCATTTTAATATGAAGTCACAAATCTGTTAGGTGGACTTAAAATTAAGTAGAAATATTGATAAATTAATAAATAGTGATAATTCTACTTACAGTATTCTAGAATACTAGAATAAGTTTTTTATTGCACTTATTGTGAAACTCATCAAGGAAATGGAGACACTATATAGGATCTTTAAGATATGTATTAAAGATCACTTAAGTCTATTCCTGATGTAGGACATGTCAGACTATAGTGAAAAAAACAACTGAAAAATAACTACTAAGGCTGAACATGATGTGTGGCATTGTAAGAAGAAAGTATTTTTGGATTAAAATATGCAGCAAGAACTTTAGGAAATCATATTTTATATGTAATGGCTAGGCATGAAGAAGAGCATAGGAGACGTGAAGAAGAGATGCTGCGTCAGAGAGAACAGGAGGAACTGAGGAGACAGCAAGAAGGTTTCAAGCCGAATTTCATGGATGCTGTAAGTAGAGCTCTTTATACTAATTGATGTGATGTGGAGAAAGGAGTTCTGTTATTCCCGATTGTTAAATTTGAGAATTTGTCATGGCAGTTTTTGATTTTTTTTACACAGTCATTTGCATATTATTTGTTTCAATGTGTTAGTAACATAAGATACTACAACAATGGTATTATACATATGACTTAAATTAATGTAGATGGTCTCATTTGTACAATGATGCCATTGTTTAAATGATTTACATCATTCTGGAAATTTACTCCATACATGCAGTGTCCATTATATCAGTTTTTGCTAAATTTAAATTTTAGTGTAGTTATGTTTGAAGACATTCTACAAAACAAACACACCTGGATTTCCTATTTGTATGAAATAACAGTAAAAAATGAACAAAGCCAAACTTTTATCTTCTCCATTTTTCTCTATTGATTATGGTGGATTGAATGCCCTTTCTCTACCGTAGGGGAAAAAACCCTTCATGTAATTCCAATTTCCAATGGCTAAGATGGGCATTCTGTGGTGGGACATATAGATAGTCTTTGATCTAGGACCACAACTGGGACCAGAATTTCCATTGCTAATCAAGATGGCTGTTATGTGAGTTGTGCCTTATTTTACAACCTTTTTTGCCACATTTTTAAGGAAATCACTGCAATTCTTAAGCGATTCATGCAGTCGTTACGCAAATCTGAGTTCTCCAGTTGACTTTGGAGAATCTGTTGGGAAGGCCACAAATGTACTCACATGACCCAGGATGCTGCAATCTTCATAAAGACATGCTGTTTGCAAAGTACTTAAATTTTGATCACATGATTGGAGATACTGCAAAGGTTGTAAGTGCAAGGACTGATTGTAAGTTGCTTTTTTAGTGCCATTGTAACTTTGAATGGTCACTAGACATATGATTATAAGTTGAGGACTACTTGTACCCCAGCAGTTCAGAGTAGGAAAAGAAATGTATAATTAACAGGATGGAACCACCTGTTCAAGAATCTGCCTGCTTAAAATATTTCTGGCTGACATTCTTCAAGTGTATTCAAAAGAAAATACATGCCAGGTGACCAATGATTCCAGCAGCCATCTACTTGAAATAACACCTATCAGGAATGTCTTGATAAATGTTTAATGAAAACCTGATATGTAAGAGATTCATCAGAATCAGGTGTGGTGCCCAAAAAGGTGATCTTTGTATTGTGGGTGTTTTTGCAGAAAAATTCCTTAGATAAATTTATAGAAGATATATATATATATGGGAAGTTTATTGCTCCACCAAATTCTGTTCAGAATAATGGAAATAGCAAGTACTAGGGTACAGGCTGTAATTGAGACGACTGGAGAAACATTGAGGAAATTTGTTTAAGGGAAAACCTTTCATCTTGCACCAGCCATACAAAGATTCAAAGTCAGCTCATAACTGTACATTATGAATCCAAGTGAAATAAATGGTTTCTTAAAATTCTGACTCTAGGCTGTGGTGGTCTCTCCCACACTAGGCACCTCTGATACTTGACTGCTAGGTTCCTTTGTACTTGACTGTTTCAAAACTTGCTGAATTTGATACTTGATGCATTTTAATATGAAAATGTTGTCCTGGTACTCGTCGTTTGTTTGGTACTTGATGCACTGCAATAGGAAGAGGGGGATGGCTACAGAGAGCAGACAGGATATCACCCATGCCAGAAAGGTTGCTGCAAAAGGATGCAGGGGACAGTCTCCAAGGGCGGATAGGAAGTTGGCCATGCTGGGAAGGTTTCTGACATAGGAAAAGGGACAGACAGTCTTTCCCAGCTGAAACAAAGGGCCACATGGTAAGTCATGTAGTTTGTTTGGTATTCATCGTTTTTAATACTCGTCGCACCTCTTGGAACCAATTAACGAGTACCAGACACCACTGTATAATCAATATTAGCTATGTGACTGCTTAACCTCTAGGAATTATATTGAACATTGCTCAGATGCATACATAGCTGTGCAGCCACAGTAGCTGTGCAAATAGTTATGGGATATTTTTTGTATAATCGGTGGAGTCTATTAGAACTACAGTCTGGCCATCTACGTAATCAGCATATCAATTGTTTATGCTCTGAGAGGAACATTGATAAAAACAATAAATTTGAATTTTGGTTCAAAAATGAAATGAAATGTTTAAAAGGAACGTAGCATGCAGAATCTGTTTCACCTACAAAAACTTTATTAATTACAGATGCTTACAAACTATGATACAAAACTGCATTGTAGAGAATGGGGTTTGAAGAAGAGAGGAGAGCTGGAAAAAAGTCTTCTGGCAGACTTGTACAATTTTTCCTTTTATCTTTTATCAGCCATGTTCTGCAGCATTCTGTCATGTGTCACCTCAGCTGTCCTTTAGTTGATCTCATATTGCTGGTTAGATGTGATTTGCTATGTTAACTTTATCTCTGGGGATTGTTCCCTGGTCTTTGGTTTCAGAGTTCTACGTGGGGTTACCCTTGAAGGGCATCTGGAAGCTTCAGCTGGTGCAAAATATGGCTGCATGGATAGTTATATGTGCCTCTAGGATGGCGCACATTACATCTCTGTGAGCTTCATTGGTTGCCAGTTTGCTTCTGGGTGCCACTCAGGGTATTGTTTTTGACTTTTAAAGCCCTGTATGGCATGGGACCAGGTTATTTGGGGGACTGTCTCGTCCCAGTTACATCTTCCCATTGCATCTAGCGGAATAGGCATAATCTAGGTCCTTTCTCTTAAGGACTTCTATCTGATGGGACCCAAGAGTCATGACATTTCTGCTATAGCCTTTACTCTCTAGAACAGCATTCCTTCTAAGGTAAGGTTAGCTCCATCTCTGTCAGCCTTCTGAAAAAGCCTTGAAAAATGTGGTTCCTCCATCAACTCTGGGGATTCTACAGTGAGCCTTAAAAGTGAATGAGGCTAAATGATGGTTGTCCTCCCAGTATCTTGTTTTTTTCCCCTTTTATGTTTTTATTTTTTATTTTTGTTACTTAGTTCTGATGTTTTTTATATTGTGATATTGTCTTAATTGTTATTTTGCTTGTAAGCTAAGCAGGCTCACTTTTATGCAAAATGGGCAGCTATATAAAAGGGCTGGCTAAATAAATTAATTCCATAAATGATTATAGAAATCATTCTTCCAACTACCCAGTCAATTAAATCAGTTCCATGTACTAACTTTAGTTTCATATTTTTTCAATCTAAAGCTTGTCTATTTTGTATGGTCATGTGTCAAATTGCAGCTACTTGTTTTGATAATATTTGCCTTGTCATTTGAAACTTCCAAGATAAAACTGTAAAACTGTTTTTTTCCTACTTCTTGAATTGTTCATGCTATTACATATAGCAAAAAGTTTTTTTAAGTTATTCTTCCTTAACTTCATGCATTAGTAACTGGAGTTTGTATCTCTTAGGCAGGGAAAATACTACCAATATAATAACTCTTTCTACATCATTTGTCAATAATTAATGTGTCTTCATTCCTCATAAAAATTATCCTACTAGACCAATGAACTTGTTTCCTTTTTTTAGCTTAGCTTAGTTTGCATGTATTAGTTCGTACTAATGTAGAATCATTACATTATAAGCAATACATTTTTTTACAATGGTTCATATACATATTCAGAGACATACTCTGCATTACTTGCCATATGTTTGTTTTGGCTGTTGTCATAGCAAAGGTCACAACATGTCTATATTATATGACTGAGAACTCATATCTGAAGACAAATATTTTATTGTAAACAATAGTTTGTGAAAACATACTGAAAAGCAACTTCATTTTTGTTTTTATTCTATTAATATTCTATGCATTCCAAAATAAAAAATATATAGCTGATAGAAATATATTGGGTTTGGCAAACAACAGTTCTACAGAATTATTTTGGGTTTGGTAAACAAAATATTCCCCTCACTATAATGAGAACCCAAAATAGATAGCAACAGATATGTGGTAGTACCAATAAAATTGTGGTGATAGTTGATAGTAATGGTATACTGAAACTGTAGCTGCAAAGAAACTTTTACTGATGTTAATATCACTCTCTTTAATTTTGGTATAGTGAAGTTAGATTAAGATGTCTGAATGGGGGAGGGGCCTTCCAACAGCAACCTTGCACACTCCTTTTATTTTTTCCCAGCCACTTCCCATCAGGTACCAGGTTAAATGTTACCTTTGTTGATCTGTAGCTGAATCAAATGTGACCTGCAGTCTGCCAGTTAACTGTCATGGTAGATGGATGGTTAGATAGGTATTAAATACAAAAAACTAAGAAAAAGAATACAAAAATTATAAAAATGAGGAAAAGCTGAAAAAAAGAAAAATATACTAAATTAAAGATGTATATTTGAAGATACACAGATAAAAGTGCTTAGTGCACACACAGGCACAAAAATAAATTAAAGCCATGATTCATTACAGTTATCCATGACCATGGAATATTCAGAGCCATATTTTTGCTGTTCTATTTCTAAAGTCTTTTGACTACATTTTTGATCAAGAAATCAACTCCCATATGATAAACTTCAAAAGAGTTTAAGCCTCTGAAAATATTAAAAGCTAAAAATTGAATTAATACAGATAATTGTTTCTTACTAAAATGTAACAATATATTTAAATAAGAAATTAATAACACTACCTCTATAACATAAGCGCAATTAGGTCCTTTCTATAATACTTTTTGTTGAAAAGAATATAATGTAAATATTTAATGATATTTTTGTTTTTCAACATATTTTTTCTTTAAGTAATACATATAAGCAAAAAAAAGATACACATACATACATATGTTGAAGATTTGAAAAAACAGACATAGTAAAGCAGCAAAAAAAAAAAAAAAAGATAAAAAGAGCATTCTGGTAGCCCCTCTTTCTCCCATCTTTTTTCTTCCTAACCAATAATTGCTATTTGATTTTTTTTCTTGGACATTATTGCTTATTTCTGTTTAATTATTAATTATTTTAATAATAATTTTTAATTTTTTTTCTTCAGAAAACTTAGTCTAAGTGGGGTA